AAAAGTTTTGAATAAAATAGATATAAATATTTTAATTTATTTATACTTTTAATAATGCATACAATAAAATGGATTATTTATGTTGCTTTAAAAATTTTTCATACGTTCTATTTATAAAAATAAATTAATTGCTTATTTTATTATAAAAATCATTAATTTAATCCAAAAAGTTAGGAATAGATGGCAGGAAAGTATAAAATTTTATTTAAAAATTAATTCATTTAGCTAATTATTTATAGTAGATAAATCTGTGCTCTGGAATCTAAATCTCTCATCAATGTAAAATTACGTTGTAATTCTATAGGTAGGTGCTCTAAACCTAAAAGAAATGTAATATGAAGCTTTTTCTCGCGTACTTACTATCGAAATACTATTCTAAGTATAACGCGGAAGTCATATTGTTGATTAACGTGACATTCAATTACACTTAACAAATAGTTAATTACAATTTCATCTTAATTTTGTTTGTTTATTTCCCTCGATTTTTTTAGGTTAGGAACATAAAGCGACATTTCATAAAAGCGCCATCTATGAGAAAGTCTAAAAGTTTTGAATAAAATAGATATAAATATTTTAATTTATTTATACTTTTAATAATGCATACAATAAAATGGATTATTTATGTTGCTTTAAANAGTGACATTTCATTAAAGCGCCATCTACGAGAAAATCTAAAAGTTTTGAATAAAATAGATATAAATATTTTAATTTATTTATACTTTTAATAATGCATACAATAAAATGGATTATTTATGTTGCTTTAAAAATTTTTCATACGTTCTATTTATAAAAATAAATTAATTGCTTATTTTATTATAAAAATCATTAATTTAATCCAAAAAGTTAGGAATAGATGGCAGGAAAGTATAAAATTTTATTTAAAAATTAATTCATTTAGCTAATTATTTATAGTAGATAAATCTGTGCTCTGGAATCTAAATCTCTCATCAATGTAAAATTACGTTGTAATTCTATAGGTAGGTGCTCTAAACCTAAAAGAAATGTAATATGAAGCTTTTTCTCGCGTACTTACTATCGAAATACTATTCTAAGTATAACGCGGAAGTCATATTGTTGATTAACGTGACATTCAATTACACTTAACAAATAGTTAATTACAATTTCATCTTAATTTTGTTTGTTTATTTCCCTCGATTTTTTTAGGTTAGGAACATAAAGCGACATTTCATAAAAGCGCCATCTATGAGAAAGTCTAAAAGTTTTGAATAAAATAGATATAAATATTTTAATTTATTTATACTTTTAATAATGCATACAATAAAATGGATTATTTATGTTGCTTTAAAAATGGTTCAACGTTCTATTTATAAAAATAAATTAATTATTTTTTTTATTATAAAAATCATTAATTTAATCCAAAAAGGTAGGGATAGATGGCAGGTCGGTATAAAATTTAAATTAAAAATTAATTAATTAAACTAATTTAGGTAATTATTTATCTATTATCTATTCATCTAAAATATCATAAAGTAGATAACTCCATTGGGATTAATTTAATTTTAATCCTTTTAACCGTTTATCTCCATTTAACATCTTATTTACACAACAAGGTTAATTTTCACAAACTTTCCAAATAACAATTAAAAATAGTTTTATAAAAGATATCTCTAGAAAAACACTTACCAAGGACAATCATAAGTTTTTTCATATGGTAAATTGCCAAGTAAGTAATCCAAAACACGAGTAACATTTAAAAAATGTATATCATCTACATTAACCAAAGTTATTTTTGTACAATTTATTTTTATCGCAAATAGGTTTGCTTGTATTAAGATCAAACTTAATCTCGGGTTATTGGGCTTCAGCGGTATTGTTGATAAAACTCGTTAAGTAAATGTGTAAACGTTAACACTCGCAAATCTATTTTTGATCATTTTCTAATGAGTGCTTCGCGTAAAGGTGATTTTTTAGATGAAATCAAGCAGCTAGAAAGTGATGATGAGTCAGTTTCCATTCAGAAATTTCAAGAATCCGAAAGATCATTTAATTCTCAAGCCCCTTTATTAAACAGAAAGAGAAAATGCAATAATGAAAAAGGGTCGAAGTTCGTGTCTAAAAGAGGTTATGGTGAACTCGGCGAATTACAACATTTATCAGATCTTAAAAGTCTTTCTGTGTTAAGTGTTTATCAACAAGACGATTCAGAAATAGAAATGGATACCAGCAGGTTGTAAAAGTAATTAAAACCAATTATATATTTATTATTTTTTTATATTTTAAAGGGATTTTAGTGATAGCATAGAATATGTTAATAAACCAAATATAAACATAAATGGAATCTGTGATAATGCTGATACAAGTGATACTAAAAAGTGTTGTAATTGTTCCAATAGAAATCCCAATGAACAGTTATTAGCTTGTCCTGTTCCAACAATTTACTTCAACGATGGGATTCGATCTGTTGATTTTGTGTTAGTTTGGGATTCCTTTGAACATGATGCAACCCTGGAGAATGCTTATGTGAAAAGAAGAAATTTTGAAGAGAATCTTATGAAAGAAGGGTTAGAGTTAGAATATGAACCTGTTGAACATAATGGGTTGAATTTTGTTAAAATTCATGCTCCGAAAGAGGTGCTAAGAATGTACAGTGAAATACTTAAGCTTCGAATGCCTATGAAATCTGTAAGTTTTGTTAATTCTTTTATTTTTAAATCTATATTTTTAAAATGTTATTTAGGATCTATGTAAATTACCTAAAGGTTACAACCCAAACCGTATTTTTACCACCGCGGCATATTTACGAAGAAAGGTAGAACAATTTAAATGAGATTAATTCAGTTTTTGTGTGGTTTAAGGTTTTTACATTTTTTTGTCTTCACTTTATATCCTATGTTTAATAAAAATAAATTTATACATTGAGGATTTAGACTGGTGTGAAGTTATCCACAAATCCCAACCATAAATTTAAAACATTCATAATTCCGGAACCGATACGATTTGGGTCACCAAATTTCACATACGGGATGCTCTAACCCTCAAGAATACAACCCCCATTTGGTAAAAAAAAAATGTTCAAGCCCCACCCCCAAAAAAAGGATGTTTTCACCCTGATGGGCACCTTCGAATTACGCCAAATTCTACCATATAATAAAACACAGTTTTAAGTATTTTTATCATTTAGACGCGCTAAAATAAGCGCATTTTCAAGTTTTTTTTCGTGAAGTTGGAATTAGTTTCAAACCTTTTTGATACCCACTACTATTTAGTGATGCTTTGTACTATAAAAATATGTATTCACATATTCTAAAACTTTTATAGGCGAAGTGGGCGGTTCCGTTTCAAACATTCTAGCATTCGCTAGACTGGTTAGAATTACTTGCGAATGCATTTACATTGTTACCAACATTCATATCTTCTATGAGAACCTAAAAAAAATTAAACATTTAAATAATACAGGTGTTTTAATAAACTGAACGGCAAAAAAAACCGGCCACTATAAATTTGCCACAAGTTCAAAGCTGGCTTTCTCGCGAACCGCGCATTCGAT